TGGTGGTGGTGGAGGAGGAGGGAGTGGTGGTGGTTTGTGAGAGAGCGGAGTGGAGTGGCGACGGGAGGGAGGAGGGTGCGGGGATGTTGGTGCGTGCGGTGGATGTAAGTGATGAATCCTCCATCTGCCGCCAGTAAGCCACAGCCAGGCGCTCCCACAAAACAAAAGGTGCAGCACGGCTGCTCAGCTCGCTGCCACCCCCCACCCCATACCCCCCCCCCCCACCACACCACCACCACATCACCACCACACCCACGACTCTCACCCCCACGGCCGCCTCCGCTTGCTCTGCGCGCGCTTCTGTTTGGCGGAGCCAGAACTAATTTCTGTGCTCAGGAAGGGCGGCCTCTGAATTATCTGTCCATTATATCGCGAGATAACTCGCCGTGCCACCGCGCACAATGCCTCCATATGGCAGCGGCGGCCGCTGAAATAGTGCCTTTAAAATAAATAAAGAAACGAGCACAACGAGAGGCCACGTGTGGAAACAGACAATTAGGGGAGCGGCCGTGTCGTGCGAACGCGGTCGGCACAGCGCGGCCCGGCACCACGTTTTTTGGAAACGCAATATTTTAAATGTTTTAGATAATCCTCGTTCAGTTCCAGTTTCGATCGCTCCCATGCTGCTCCGAGCGTGCCGATCGTTCCGATTTTTGCCCTGCGGTTTTTACTTAATTGCCAGCTTTTATTTTCCTTCTAAAACTCGGGGCTCGCCCCACAACGCGCCAACGGTTCCTCTCGGTTTCCCCGAGGGCCCGCCCTGGCCCCATGCAACGTTAGTGAATCTCGCTTTCTGTGTGCGTGGCGGAGCGGTGGGCTGTTCGCGCTGCTGCGCCCTCGTGCACGCACAATCCCTCCGCCGACGCGATGGCCCCCTCCTCGCGGCAACCCTTGCCGGCAGGGTCGAGTCGAATTCCGTCAACCCCGCCCTGGCCCTTGCTGTCCCCTCACTAATCAACCAACAGCGTCGGTGTCCAGAATATTCGCACACACAAAAAAACCACGCAATTGTTTTTACACTTAAGCCAAACTGCCTTCTGGAAGTGCCTAGATTCAACACAAGCAAACTCTGGACCCGGTTTCGACTTGCAGTGTCTCATCAGCGGCGTCGGTCCCGCTTGAACCCAGTGCTCAACAATCCCCTCTGTAAGTTGCTTAAATCGGTACAAATTAAATCCTTATTGTGCAATTTGCACCAAACGGCAGTGCCGTCGCGCCCTCCAAATTCACTCGGCAGCCTCGGTTCCATTGTGCGCTTCTTAAACAGCTTTTGAGTCACCACTTATTTGGACACCAGTGACTGATGCCCGTTCGCTCCTTTCCTTGACCTTCCTCTTTGAGCTGCCGTAAAGTTCAAAGGCTGTTCCTACTGGCAACGGTTGGCCCGGTGACGGATGGAGGTAGCATTAGTCACCTGTCAGAAGGCTTTTTCACAGCTTAAACACTTTGCTTTCGGCCCAAAAACAAAGAGACTCTCTCTCCCTTTGTGCGCTCGCGTTTGTGCCTCGGCCGCTCTTCTTTTATCGTCTCCTCTAATCTTTTTATCTCTCCTCCTTCTTCTGCGAGCCTCCTCGCAGTCCCCTCTGAAGGTGTGTCCTCCGTGCCACCTCTCCGCCTCGCCCCCTCTCTGTGCTGCGTTTTTGGCACCGGCGAGCGACGCGGCGTGCGGACGGCGATGGCCCCGGCGCCGCCGTCGCTGCGCAACGCTTGGCGGTCGTCGTCCGCCCTCGCCGCAGCATCTCGCCCCGGCAGCTAAACCCGCGATGATGGAGCGAGCGATGGAGCGAGCGCCCTTTGTGCGTCGCTCCGGGACGGGGCTCCATGCCTCGTTACCTGAACCATCGGTGGAAATTCCACATTGCTATGACAAGAGGCACATCTGTTATTTTCTAACAACTGAAGTTTGCTTGCCACAAAGTGATACATATTTTATTGACCTTGGAGGAATAATGATGATTGGTTGCGTTGACCCACAACCTATTTGGTCACGGGTTCGCACTCCGTTTTTTTTCCCCTGAATGAGGCGAGGTGCCTCTCCCTCTTCAGCTCATCACTACCTCTTTATTCCAATGCCTTCGCCGCCCATCCCTTTCCTCCTCTTCCTGATCCTCCTACCCACCCACTCCCCGCCGCCCCCGCCGGCCCCCACCCCCTCTCTGCTCCTTGCCTTTCTACTCACGGCTCCACCGTGAGTCCTGGAGAGGTGAGATTTGGGCTGCCACGCTTGGGACTGTCACGCCGCGTTACCGCGCGGCCCACCGCAGCCGCCTCTCTCCGAGTAACGAGCAGCAGCGTTTGGCAGCAGCAGTAAAAAATAAATAAAAATCTCGTTGGCTGGGGGGGAGGGCAGACACAGACTGGAATGAGAGATGTGGGGGGGGGGGGGGTGGTAGGTGATAGGTGGGAGGCCGGGGGGTGGCGGGCGAGCAGGAGAGAGTTGTGCAGAAACCGAAAAGGAAAAGAAATAACCCCCCCACCCACCCGTCCTGCCCCCCCCCCTCTAAAAGAAGGAAATAAAAAAGCAGTATGAAACAAATCACGTTGCATTAATGCATCACCACGCGGCGTTATCGACAGAAATCCCGCTAGGCCGCGGGTTTGCCTATCTCCGCGTAATAACGTCCCCCGCGGGACCCGGCAAGCAGCTCGAGTGGCCTTAATGCTGCACACGGCGTAATCCCATAATTCCTTGTTTAATTAAAGCTCCTGGCCAGTGGTTGCGAGTGGCCTATCTTGGCCTGGCTCCTTGATGCTGACTTTGAGAAAAATGTAATCCCGGCGCTTTTTTTGTTGCACTAATCAGCGCTGCGCCTCGCACTCCAAGGCCTCTCCAGCACTCGCGGGCCCGCGCGCCCGCCAGTGAGCGTGCGGGCGCCAGCGAGTGGGCGGCCAAACGCGCAACAGCAGCACGCCCACCCCCCCTCCCCGTTCATCCTCTTCTCATCTCCCCAAAGTCCTCAACCACCTCTCCCCAAACACAACCACAGCGCCACTTTGCCATGGCCAACCACCTCTCCCCAAACACAACCACAGCGCCACTTTGCCATGGCCACCACCTCTCCCCAAACACAACTACAGTGCCACTCTGCCATGGCCAACTGCTTCTAAGCAACCAAATGGTGCCACCCGCCCCATCGCCGCCCGCCCCTCCGCTTGCGCCCCAGAGTCTAATTTTGCGAGTTCAAATCCCGAGTGGTGAGACAGGGCCCGGCTTTGTCTCGTGCGCTCACGCCTGTTGGGGAGCGCGATGGAAGAGGCCTAGGGAGCCACTCGTGTACCAATCTCGGATTTGTTGCGGTCCCGGCGGCGGCTTAGCACTTTTACACGCGGGCCGATTCCGGCGCGGCCGTAACAGCGACAGTAATTCCGGCATGGGAATCGCCCGGATTTACCGCGCCTGCTTGAAAGCGCCGGCTTCGCAGTGACAACAAAACTTAGACCCGAGCGATTGGGGCCAACGGAGGCGTTGATTTGAAACTGCAACGAAAGTGGCCACGCTTTTAATCTCCTGTCTCCTTTTTCCACCTCGTCCACATTGTAGATATTGTCCACCTCGTCCACATCGTCCACCTCGTCCACATCATCCACTTCGTCCCCATTGTACACATCACCCACATCATCCACCTCGTCCACATCGTCGACGTGCAGCATCTGCACAAAGCGGCGGCTTCATGAGTTCCAGCACCGCCGCAGCCGCCGACTAATTTTACCAGAATGGCCGTGTTGGGTTTCATGGGCTGATTTAGTAACGGAGCGAACGCTGCTCTTGAATTAATGCGAAGCGTGGCAAATTATTTTGTGAATATTTAAAACGTGTCTGTGGACGGCTCCCATTCTTCGCACACAAAGACGCTTCTTCGCCGATTTTGAAATTGTGCTGCGTGTGCGTTTATTGCGCGCCTCCAAGATAAGGGCTCTTTATGAATGTTTTTTACAGCGTATATATATATGTTTTTTCGTTTGGATAACGAACGAAAAAACATCGAAGGCAAATTATTTGTGGAGACCTGCGCTAGTTACACACCGAGTCCCTCTGAATGAATTTCTATTGTGCGTTGTTTCAAACTTGACTTGTTTCTATTTTTATAAATAACCGACTGTCGTAAATGTTAGATTTTTTTGGGCTCAAACTGAGCTCCGTGTGGTTAGGTTGGCTTTGAGACGATCATCTCAATGCGGATTTGTCTCATCACATCGCTTCAAATGCTGTTCATCGCGACTTGTGAATCACGTGATAGTGACGATGACTTACGATGATGATGATAACGATGACAGTTGGCATCGTATTTTATTAATTGACCAAAGTGTTTTTCACAATATTTCCACTTTTTATCCTAAAATATATGTGGGCTGTTTGAAATAACGTATACACTTAGCTATATTGGATTCCCACTTGACTTAATTTTTTGTCATTTGGATCGTTATCAGAACGAATACAAATGCACGTTACATTCCACACGCAACGTCTTCTGCTCGTGAACAGCGAAGACATTATGATCTCATTCGTATTTTATTGAAATGCACCACATGTGACGTCTTCTGTCCCATCGCAGTCGGTGACGTGATCGTTTTGTATATATTAACTTTGTTGAGGATATCCAGTTCAAGTGATCGGACGCTATTGCCACCAAAGTCCCATACGCCAGGATGTATGACCCGGAATCAAGCACGTGTGAGAGATCTTTGTCCCTAAGTTGTTAAATTCCAAGGTGGTGACTCGCGTTGCCATTGGTAGGTCAGTGACCCCCTCTAGGAATTGGCATTTGTGTTCGGGTGGCAGCAGGATATTGATTTGTACCCAGGCCTAGTACCGGCATCGCTGCGTTGAACTTTACGACAGGACACTGCGCAGCTTTGATAATTGGCCGAGTGCTGATGTCCCCGTCGATCTTAAGGTGGGAGCGGTGGCAGCCGCAGCGTTCACGCTGGCCGTGCTGCCCGAGTGGTGGTTGACGATGGGTGCCCGTGCGTGCCCGTGCGTGCCCGTGCCGTGTGTTCAGCAGGCAGCACGGTGGAGGACAGCTCGGACGTGGACTCCGAGCCGGACCTGCCGCTGAAGCGCAAGCAGCGCCGCTCACGCACCACCTTCACGGCAGAGCAGTTGGAGGAGCTGGAGAAGGCGTTTGAGCGCACGCACTACCCGGACATTTACACGCGCGAGGAGCTCGCCCAGCGCACCAAGCTCACGGAGGCGCGCGTGCAGGTGAGCCGAGGCCCCGCCGGTGCCTTGCCCGACCCGCCAGAGCCTGTCAGGCCATGTCTGGCCCTGCTAGGTCCACACAGGCTGTGTCTAGCCCGGCAAGGCAGCAGCAGGTCCACACAGGCTGTGTCTAGCCCGGCTAGGCAGCAGCAGCAGGTCCACACAGGCTGTGTCTAGCCCGGCGAGGCAGCAGCAGGTCTACACAGGCTGTGTCTAGCCTGGCTAGGCAGCAGCAGCAGGTCCACACAGGCTGTGTCTAGCCCGGCTAGGCAGCAGCAGGCCCTGTCAGGCTGTGTCTAGCCTGGCTAGGCAGCAGCAGGCCCTGTCAGGCTGTGTATAGCCCGGCTAGGTAGCAGCAGGTCCACACAGGCTGTGTCTAGCCTGGCTAGGCAGCAGCAGCAGGTCCACACAGGCTGTGTCTAGCCTGGCTAGGCAGCAGCAGGCCCTGTCAGGCTGTGTCTAGCCTGGCTAGGCAGCAGCAGGCCCTGTCAGGCTGTGTATAGCCCGGCTAGGTAGCAGCAGGTCCACACAGGCTGTGTCTAGCCTGGCTAGGCAGCAGCAGCAGGTCCACACAGGCTGTGTCTAGCCTGGCTAGGCAGCAGCAGGCCCTGTCAGGCTGTGTCTAGCCCGGCTAGGCCTCATACAGTCTCATCTGGTCTAGCCTGAGGTGAAACCCAGGATTGATTTCATGAAATTTATTTAACCAGGTGATAGTCTATTCAGCCAATTTGCTCTTTAAGGAATAGAAATGGATAAAGTTTTGGTGAGCTAAAAAAATGTTTTTTGGGGGATTCTATTCATTATAGTAAAGGCAGCTCATTATAATGTCCGGTTAACTGCTCCTAATGACCTTTTTGGAAATAACTGGGTCACTGCGGAAATTGCAAACAAGGCTGGTAGAAGTGAGAGAGCATAGGATAGCCGGAGATGCAGCATCTTAAATGTTTCAGCGGTGATGTCAGGTGACTCAACACATGGTGCCCCCCCACCCCCCACCCCCCCACTCCGCGCCTCTCCGTCTCGTGGTCGCTGCACTCAAACCGTTTGCGTCTCCTTCTCACGCCACGTCGAGTTTCCTCGAGTGCTTTTTTAATATAAAACCTGAGGTTTGTGTGAGGGGGTGTAGGAGAGCGAGAGAGTGACATTGGGAGAGAATGACAGAGATGGAGAGAGGAGAGAGCTGTAGAGAAGCAAGGAGGAACAGATGCAGGGAGAGAGGAGATGGATGCAAGGAGAGAGGAGGGAGGGAAGGAGATGCAGGAAGGGAGGAGGAGATGGAGGGAGGGAAGGAGATGCAGGAAGAGTGCTCGGCCCGGCCATGCAGCTAGCGGCTGGGAGGAGTGGAGCGGTTTTTGCGGAGCGCCACGATGATGGCTGCCACCTGTTGGCCCCCGCGCGTGATCGGGATCGTTTGTGGCAGAAGCGTTTTGCTCCACCTGAGCCCCGCTCGCCACGGCCGTGACGTTCCAAGTCCCCGTGGGCCCCCGGGGCCGAGACCCCCGAAACAAAGCCCCCTTTCTGTGGCGAGGCGGAGAGGGAGCCCCGGCGAGTGCCCGCGTGCGCTAATTGACTGACAATGGTCGGAGGGGAGTGCGCCGTCGCCGCGCCCGCTGCATTATTCATTTTGTTTTTCTCCGCGCACGGAAGGCTCCCTGCGAGCGTGAAGAGATTTGTCCACAGCCTAAACAAACACGGGAGGTTGGGGAGGGGGGGTAGAGAGCAAAAGCCCCGAGCGTTTACTAAACACGGTGACTAAATGATTCCGCGGGCTCTGGCGATCACGAAGTGCAATCCTCGCCGTGTCCCCGTGATCCCCGCGGAGCGCCGGCTTAGCCGGCTCGCTCGCTACGCCGGGGCCCGGCGATCGCTGCTCAACCCCACCGACTCCTCGCGCGTGCTCGCCGCTCGTCCGCTCGTCCGCTCATCCGCTCGTCCTCTGCCATTTGTTTTGCTGACCCTGACGTTCCTCCGTGGAAGTTTCTCGCGCCAACTCGGAGAGAAGTTGGCGCGGCGGGGTTGGTGGGAGCAGGGAGGAGGAGGTGGTGGAGCCACGGTTTGGTTTGTTCAGTCTCTGGCCTTTATCCGACCTCTTGTCGAGAGCCCGTCAAGGGGATACAGCTATTGTAGTACATCTGCAGCGCTGGAGATCTGGGCTTGCTGCGCGCAGGATGGATTCAAAACCCGGGCAACGAGTTAATAAATAAATAATAAATAAATAAAAACCGCTGCGTGTAATATGCAGCATGCGTTTACATGTACACAGAAGAATAGAGAAACTGCAAAGCACTTTAAAAACATAAATACATTTAACAATAAAAAAAATACGCAGGCCTCACATCAGCCCACGCTGGTCAGTGCGGGTTGGTGAAGGGGTGGCCTCGGCGTGGTTCTAACATCCCAGACCACCGCCGTGAGCCGTGGCCTGGGACCAAACTCGGCTGACAGAGCATCGCCGTGACGCGAGCCCATCGCCGGCGCTCTGCTAGCGCGTGGCGGCCTGCGGGCACGCGTCGTCGCGCCAGCGATGTGTCCAGTTGCACGTTGATTTTTGCGTAACCAGGTGAGAGAACTCAGGAGGCCAGGATGGGGGGAGTCTCTTTACCAAAATAACAAAAGCAGTGACGTGAAAGCACAAGTACGACAGTGAAGCAAATAGAAAGCAAAGCAAGAACAACAGCGTTACAGAGGACGTGGGAATACGGTGCGCACATAAACATCAACATTGAACTTCGCATGAATCCCGTGACAAAGGTTGGCTCGGACAAATGGCTTTCAAAATCCATTCGTAGCCAAATTAAGTGACAAAACATCAAATACATTTGGAGCGATCATTGCACCGGCGTGTGAACCATTGAGCGGCCGTGTGTCAGATATCACGACGGTACCGATGCCGGGACTGGGGATCATGTCTCGCCCTTCCGGCACACGCCGATGCCGGAGCTTCTGGGCGCGGGGGCGGCCTCCACCCGGAACTCCGTCTTTTGTTAGCCCCCCTCCACTTCAAAGAATGGCGATTCCATCTGCGGGGCGGCGTTACGCTGCGCCCGGCGGTTGATGCAGCCTCAGATTTATTACCGAAGCAATATCCCTGGCGGCGGGGTGCCGCCGTGGTTACGGGGAACATTCACGGCCGCGTGTCGGAGCGAGCTCACCGGCGCAACCGCCCGCAGCCCCGTGGCGGCCGTGGCCGGGCAGAGCCCACGGTCGCAGAGCCGGGGCGGCGGCGTCGGCGGAGGGGCGGTGAGGATGGAGGAGAGGGAGAGATCGTAAATGTTCGCTCGGATGCGATTACATCACGACGGTGCGCGGCGTCCCCAGAGCTCCGATTGCCAGACACCCGACCGGGGCGTCCCTGCTCTGGCAGGTGTCTGCCTCCGCTTTGATAGGGCCGCGCCAACATCTGTCGGATCTGTTGATTTGGGGAGTCGTGAAGCCACCCGCTCCACAGGCCCCCTGACTCCCCCCCCACCCACCCATTACCCCCCCCCAACTCGCCTCCTCTCCCAGATGCCCCCGCTCGGACGGGCGCTGTGGATCACCGCCATTATATATTTATTTCCCCCTGCATCTTTACACGAGCAGTTAACGGTCATTACTCATCGCTCACGCTTTCAATTTAACCTAATGAGCTGTAATGGTTTAAAACATTTTTTTATATTATTATTCCAGTACTTTAGATTTCTTAAACTTGGGTGAAGTGTGCGGAATTAAAAGTTTTAACGGCTTTTAATTATTACGCTTGGATGTGGAGGGGGGAGGGGGACGATCGGGGGAGAGGGAGAAGCAGCAGAAAGCAAAATTAATTCTGCATTAGTGGCATTTGAAATTCTCCCTCTCCGCAGACACCCACTCGATTTCCACATTTCTTCTCTCGCTTTAAGCCGCGTTATCAGCACTCACACTGGACGTTCATTTGCACAAACTTCATTCAATGGAATGCAAAATGAACGCGCGCGGGAGAGGGCGGTGCGCGCGTGTGGGTGCATTTGCTTAAAGGTGCGCGTGTACGCACGGGAGCGTTTTTGCATGCGCGTGGTTGTGCTAATGCGTGTACTGTTGTACGTGCGCGCTAGTCTATGGGTGTATGCGTGAACGTGCGCATACGTCAACCTGAGCACGTGCGAGCACGTGCATGCATGTGCTCGCACGCTCGCGCGTGCATGCCTTTGCATGCACGTCTGCTTACGTGTGTGCGCGCACGCGTGTCTTTGTGCGTGTCTGCCTACACGTGTGCACGTGCGATTGTGAGAGTCTGCATGTGCGCATGCATGTGCATTCATATCTGCATGCGTGCACGTGCGTGTGAACGTCCGCGTGCGTGTGTGTGCGCGTGTCCGTGCGTGCGTGCGTCCCCACACTGCACCGGCGGCCAGCGTTGTGCCGTCTCCCCCACTCGCCCCACCTCCTCCTCCTCCTCGCTGCCGCGTGCCACCGGCATCACGGCTCGTCCGTAATGCCGCTGGATTACCTTGGCTTTCCTGGGCGCACGGCACTCGGTCTCTTTATGCAGAGCGCAGGATTCTGCAAGTGTCTTCGCTCCTTGGGGTTTTTTTCCTGACAGAAAGATACGCGGAATCCTCACCGCGCCGAGATCAAACCCCAGGCTCATTTTCACAGCTCAGCCCCCGCCCCACCCATCTCCGTCCTTCACCTCCCCACACCCCCCAGCTCAGCTTCACATTTCACGAGTGTTCAATGTCACTGAATTTGACGAGCGGTTAATATAACCCTTCGTCATCGTCGTCGTGAAAATAACCATCGCCGTCGTCACGATCATTTCTTCTCGAGCCACGGGTGCCCGGTCTGTGTCGCGGGGGGGCGGGGGCGTGGGCGATCGATCGGAACGTGCTCTCTGCTGTAACGTGGCCGTTTTGGGAACCCCGTGATGCAATTCTCAAGAGCAGGCTGCCGCGTGCCCGGTGTCTGTAGCTCATATTTCAAACGTGAAAATTACCCGCAGCTAAATTTTAAAATAATAACCGCTCCTTTGTGACTCGGGTTGCTTTCTGGAAAAAAAGTGAAAGAACTCTCACCTGGTTAACTAAACAACATCAAATTAAATTTGTTTCCATTCCTTATTTTCCCCTTTTCGCTCCCCTAATTCCCCTGCAGCCAAATTACCCCAAATGCCCCCGCACCCATCGCGGTTCTCGCAAGCTCAGCGGGATTGAGCCCGGCTAGAGCTAAGGTGGGTGACCGCCACCGCTGGGGCTTGCCAAGTGTTATAGGTGGGGTTCTACGAGGAGGTGGCAGTGTTCAGTGTCACCCCCCCCCTCCCCCCCACGTGGAGTTTCTCTGGCCTCTCCGGTTCCATGTCAGGGTCAAGAGAACATCAAGGCCCCTGCCATCAGCGCCATCGCTTCCTTCCTTCTGCCAGGCCCCTCAGCTGTTGCGCAGTCTCATCGGTCGGCAGGGCTGCGCCGTGACGGTGACACTCGTGCCTCGCAGCACAAACGCCATTGGTTAGATTCCCGACTCGGGTGCCCCTCTGCGTGGAGTTTGTATTCTCTCCCCGAGTCTGACGTGGGTTTCCTCCGGGTTCTCGGATTTGCTGCCATAGCTAAAAAAAAAAACGATGATGCAACGTTCTTGGACCAAAATTCCGATGCTGCAAATTTACATTCAAGTCATTCAATTGGCATCACACAACATCGCCCCCTCCTATGGAAACTTGGCAGGACCCTCATGGAGAAGAGTCTTGAGATTCATATTCTTGGTTCTTTCGGACGGCTGCTTGCGTTGTGACCGAAACGTCGTGAGAATGATTTTATTATGTTTTATTTTTATTATTTTATTATTTCCCTTCTACGTGACTTTACCGAAAGAACCAAGAAGATGAATCCCTGCAGTCACGAAAGCTTTCAATCTAAATTTAAGAGTCTTGAGACTCGGTGAGGTTTCCTGGGTAAACGGGCATTGTGGTAATAATTGGCACAGGGAGGACACCCCACGAGGCGTACGAGAGGGCACAACCCAATGGTCGGCGCTTGCCACACTGCTATCTCCTTGCCCACTCGCAGCTCAGCGGGTTTGGGATTTTCACAAATCTTCGCGTGACCCGCCAACCCCCCCTCCCCCGGCGGATCGTGGGCATGCGGTTCTGCCACTTCCCCCCGAATGCCAAGACTACGACTCTCACGGTCCCCACCCTGAACAAGAAGACAGCTGGCCCCGAGCGGAGACGCAGCAACGCTTCCAAACCCAAACACGGAGCGGTGGGAGCCCCCCGGGGGCTCCCATAGCGGCGTGCACGCTCCCAGCATGCCCTGGGGTACGTGCTCACCGCCGATTGAGCGGAGAGCGCAAGGAGGTGACGAGGAGCTTGGTGGTTGATTGGAGGAGTGAGGAGGTGATGATGATGATGAGGAGCCAGGTGACACGGGCGGCGGCCCTGGTGTCCGGGCCGACCGTGCTCGACTTTCGCGCCTCGCACCGCCGTTGTCCGTCTCTGTAACTCTGTCGGCGCAGCTCGGCACTCCGCGTCTCACCCAGCCAGCGGCGCAATCGTGTCGGACAAATGACGAGTAAGTGGAGAGCGGCGGCGCGGCGAGGGGGCGAGCGGGAGCCGTGTGGGGTGGTGGTTGGGGGGAGGGAGGGGGTGGCAGACGTGGGGGGGGGGGGTGGCGGTAATTGCTCCCAGACGGGGAATTAGTAGAGACCGCGTGAGCGGGCGGGCGGGGGAGCGGGGAGCGAGCGCGGAGCGAGCCTAAGCGATGTGCAATCCGCGCTGGGAAAATCATTATCGCTCCCAGAATTCCAGCCGCAGCACGGGCGGTGGACGTGGCACCGCACCTGCGCCGTCGGCACGGAGCGTCCCTTCGGACCGGCGCTCTCTCTCGGGCCCCCCCCCCCCCCCCCCCCCCGGGCATTCGTTGTGGTGCCCTCGGCGGAGCGTGGGAGCGGTGCCCTTGGCGCCGCTCGCAAGAGGAGCGCTTTGCAGCACCACCGTCCCAGCGGTTGGGGCCGTGGCGCTCGTTACAATTTCCACGGCCACTTGTGGAAGTTCCACATTCCTATGCTGGCGGCGCGTCACGTAGGACACCACCGCCGTCCACATCCCACTAAATGTTTCTCACTTTATCGGCCCTAGAGGAATAAAGAGGCAAGTTCGACCCCACCTGGGAAATTAACTCGAAACCTTCCACTTGCGTGCCGTGTGCTCTACCTACTGCACCACCCGACCCGGCCTCCACAGCGTGGGAGACGCTGCACCTCGGAGTCGCTCGCCCGGTCGATTAAACAATGTTTGTTTACGTTGTCCAAGTGGGCTTAAGCTGCATCAGCGTCCCAGCATCCCTCTGTTCCTCCTTCCCTCCATCTCCATCCCTTCATCTCTCCATGCCACCATCTTCATCTCTGTCTCTCTCCGTCTCTCCTTCCCAGCGTCTCTCCCACAAGCTGCACCGTGATGTTAGCGGTCCTTGCCGCCGGCTCGCCGCTTTCACGGCGCTCGCCGCCGATGGGATTTAGAGATCCGCGGGTGGCGGCGGCGGCGCTCCCATCATGAGACTGCGAATGCCCCGTGGCCCGGGGCTGTGACAATTCATCGGGGGCCAATCGCAGACGCGTTAGCAAGCGGCTCGCTCGCCCTCTCTAGCCACGTCGGGGCGAATTTCGAGCGGTACCACAGCAGCTGGCGACAAAGAATGTTGTCGGTGCCCAGTGGCTTAGAAACAACGGGATGGTGGTGGTGGTGTTGGTGGGGATGGTGATTGTGGGGGTGGTGGTGGAGTTGATGGTCGTAGTGCTGATATCAGTGCTTGTGGTGGCGGTGGGGAGTGCGTCAAGGGGGGATGTACGTGGATGGATAAATAAATAAGTAATCGCGGCGATCGCGATGCCCGGAGTTGAGGGGGCCGCCCGTGTAACACAACTCCTCGCGCCTCCCAGCCTCAGCGCGGCCCTAATCGCTTTCCAAGGCGCACGAATCAAAGTGCAGCAGCGACATGAAAGCGTTGGGGAGAGTGGCACGGGGCCACGGGCTGCCTGACCCGCAGGCAGAGGGGGGCGCGGGGGGGCAGCTCCCGCAGGAGCCCTGCACTTTCGACTCCTGAGAAACCGCCCCCCCCCCCCCCCCGATCGCCGATCACCGCTACCGCCGTCGAGATGTCACGCGGCAGAATATTTATTTATTTGTTTGCGCTGCGCATGGGCGTCAGGCGAGCGCCGATCGAGTCGCTCAGGAACGGCCGACCGCACCCCCCGCCTCCTCCTCCTTCCGGCCGCTCTTCCCCCACGCTTCGTCGCCGCTGTCGGCCTGATTATTCTCATTATTTTTCTTCTTATTATTTTTATTCTTTTTAAACGCGGATCTCGCCGTCTTCTCCCGCGCCGTCTCGAGCCCGGGCATCGTCCGTGCCGCCCGTCTCCTCCCGCGCCGCCGCCGTCCAATGCCTCCTCCTAGTGGCCACGTGGCTGCATGGACCCTCCTGGCGCCAGTGGCACGGAGAGAGAAGCGGCCGCAGAGCGAGCGGACTCTGCGTCGGCGGCGGATGAGAAGCGTGCGCGACCGGGGGCGTTCGTCGTGCGCGTCGTGCGTGGTAGAAAACGAAAAATTGCGAAACGCAAATTCCACTAATTGCAGCTGTTTTGAGGCGGACGTGAAAAAAAATAATAGCGATAATTTGGGGAAACATTGACCCAGTAATAAATAAACTGCCGTGAATTCCTCTAATTGGGCAATAAATCACAGGCGGGTAGCAAGGGACGGCGGGCGGCGCGCTGCGCAACGAGCGACGTTCACATCCGCGGAAACGCGGCAATTATTTTTTGTTTAATGGACAAAGGACGTTTGTGGGCAGCGAGCAAGAGAGCGAGAGAGCGACGGGCAGCGGCGCCTGACTCGCGCTGCCCTCTGCCCGCACCCCCCGCCCAGGTCTGGTTCAGCAACCGGCGCGCCCGCTGGAGGAAGCAGGCCGGGGCCAACCAACTGGCGGCGTTCAACCACCTCATACCGGGCGGCTTCCCCCCGGCCAGCATGCCGGGCCTGCCGCCGTACCAGCTGCCTGAGGGGCCCTACCCGGGCTCCGGCATCCCGCAAGGTGAGGCGCTCGCCGCTGCGCGGTCATCGTCATGGTCATCGTGGTCATCGTCATCATTGTCGGCAGTGGCTGGGATCAATCCACTTCCGGGTGGAGGTCTCCCTGAGCCCTCAATCCATCCGACTCGATCCAGCCGTGCCCTTTGGCCACACTAGAAATCGTGGGGTCCCTCGTCAGCCGAGCTCGCTCTGGCGCCGGGCCACGGCACCCATTGCCTCCCTCGGCGTCACGGGGCCCCGAGTGTCCGTTCTAGAACAGACCGCCGCCGCACTCCGCTTGGGCCCCCCCACGGGAATGGACGGACCCTGCGGCAGTGGCGGCGCGCGAGCGTGCTGACCGCCGGAGACGATCCGGCGGCGCCCGTGAGCGACGTGAATTGACTTACGCAATCGGCAAAGAATCTGCGCAGGGTTCCATCGGAGGGCGCCTTGCAGGTGTGCGTCATTGTGCTCGCGCACGCGAGCGGGTGTATGACGCGCTGGCGTGTGTGGGAATTAATTCATTAGTGCGCTGAGCGCGTTACAGTAAACGCTATTGTCTGGTGTGTTTTTGCGCTGATTGTAATTTATTGAAGGCAAGCATCCCTGTGGGGGGGGGGGGGGGGGGGGTCAGCGGAAGGGGTCGGTGAGGGTCGGTGGGGGTTTCATTGTAAGATTTTAGAGATTTGGGTTTAGAATTGTGACTCGGAGTCGTTTTGGTGTTTTTAGGCCAAGTTTAAACGTTCCACAATCTCAGCCGTCTTCACTGTAGAGGAGAGACGGAGTTTGTAAGGCCGTGAACCCTGGGCAGGGACCCCATGTCAACGTTCCTCTCCGTGCATCTCTGATGTTGACCGTCGTGCGCACATTAGACCATCGCGCAATGCACAGCAAGCAATATTGGTATTCACATAAATACCTCGTTGGTTAGTCTCTTGGCAAACCAATTTGAGTTTGATCTGACTCAAATGTAAAGTCACACTTCAAACTTTCCACAAAACGTTCCCAGACTACGGCAACTCTACACCTGATGGGCCTTGACTCGTCGACCCCATTTAAAAACACCCTCTCTCCTCCTCCCCCACATGGTCGTCCTCCCACAGTGGACACAGGCACGACGGTACACAGACCGCAGCCCCTGCCGCCCTCCTCCATGCACCAGGGCGGCGGCCTGGCCGGCGGGGACGGCGCCGGAGCCTACGGCCTCTCCTCGAACCGCTCCGGCTTCTACTCGGACAGCTTCATGTCGGCCGCGTCAGCGCCGTCCAACCACATGGCGCCCATGGCCAACGGCCTCTCCCCGCAGGTGAGGGCGCGTGGGGTCGAGGGGGCGCGGGGTCGCGGTCTGCAGGTATAAGGTCACGGAAGTTAGAAACGGGGCTCCCGCGGACCAATCGGCTGTGCCGGCAGGAAGATGGTGGAGGTGACGGAGGGTTTTGTGGAGACAGGGGCGGGCGATGTCCTTTATGGAGGGGGCTGCGAGGAGGTCAAGATGCCGAGCGCTTTAGCAGGAGGCGTGTTTGATGGGCTGTGGAAACCACCTTGGAAGAGAAGAAGAGAGCGGAGCGTGCGCATAGAGAAAACGGTGTGGACCAGAGGGCCGCCCTCCAACCGTGCAGTTCGACGAGAAGCTGCTGCTGGCGTTTTGCACAGGGAAGGATGTTGAGAAGTTCGTTCCGAGGCAGGAGAAACAACGCAGAAGCCCAGCAGAGAACGTGGCAGCTGCGCTAAGTGGGCGTGGCCTCCACGAGTCTGGCGACCAAGGGAAGAGAAGGCCTAAGATCAGTATCTGAGATACTGTCAGGACAGATGTCTCCGTGCGAGCCTATGGGTCAATCTGTGAGTCTGTTGGTCAGTCTGTGAATCTGTAAGTCACTCTGTGAGTCTGTGGGTCACTTTGTGAGACTGTGGGTCACTCCGTGAGTCTGTGGGTCACTTTGTGAGTCTGTGGGTCACTATGAGTCTGTGTCTCTTATTGCTGAGAAATAGCCGTGGTGAGAGCATATCTCCTTGCCTTACTCCTCTTCCAATTTGTGTGCTTTTACTTCCTCTGTGCAATCTCAGTGGAGCTGTTCCATCTTGACGAATTATTTTGATCTATGAAGGCCTTGCTATGCGAGAGCTTGGGAAGATGCGCCAATTTACACCGAATCAAATGCATTTTCATTGTTGATGGTGATGGAGTGACTGTGGAGAACAATGCAGGAAGTGAGTGAAGAATCAGACTTGACGGCTCTGCTGGATAAAGTCCTCACCACTCCGTGCCGGCCATGAGAGTTGTTAGGCCATACTTCGCCACGCAGGGTCAGCACGGCTTGGCTAAGCGATGGGAGGGCCCAGGACCAGTTCAGATCTCATTCTCCACTGCTCTTAGCCGTGGCCAGGAATCGAACCACGGCTCCATCGCTCCGCCCCGACCGCCGAACAAACCCGGCAGCGACCTCGTTCGCAACGGCGCGACGGCAATTACGGTGCCCCGCCATGGCGACGGTCACCCTGCGACTGGCCCTCCCCAGCAGGACGCGCCGCCCACAATAAAGGGCGGCCTTTGTGGAAGGCGGCGTGGCACGGCGGCGGCTTGTGTTTAAATTTTAGCTTAGCAGTGATTAGCTAAACCTTGCGCGCCCAGGTAGCGCCAAATAGTGTTAAGCATTCCAAATCGCGTTCTCCGCCGGGGCTTCCCGGAGCCCTGCGACCCCCCCCCCCCCCCCCCGCACGCCCCGCGCTGCATACGCAAGTCTTTAGCGACGGGTTGGCAGGGATTGCGTGTGTGAGTGACAGCTAAAACCGTCTCTCTCTCCCCGCCGCCACCTGCTGAAAGGAGCTTCTCTTTCTCTCGTTTCCCGTCCTCCCACCCACTACTTTCCCCCCCTCCCAAATTATCCTCATCCCGTGAACCGCCATTAAATCCTGCGGCAGAACCGATGCCGATCCGGAGTAAGAAGTAAATTACAAGCAATTACACAGCGATTAGGCCGCAGCCCTGGCACTCGGAAGGCCCGACACGATCTCTGCTAACAGGCAGAAAATAAGATTGCAATGGCGCATAAAACAGCGCTGGAGATGATTTCCAGCGCCGCGTTTGTCTGCGATTTTGCGCCGCTTCTGCACGCCCGTGTTTTATTGCAAAGCGCCGCCTCCCCCTTCAAGCGGATTTCGCGAACGTTTTTCTGGTGTAACTTTTCAGCGCCAATTTTGCGGTGAAATTCCACATGACCCAAACGCTTTCGTTTCATTGTTTCTCTCGCACTTTTTTTTATTCCGGCTTTTTTTCCCTCTCCTTCCTCGCCTCCTCCATCCGTCTCACCCCATCCCTCACGCTTCGCCACCCAACCCCTCGGTTTTGGCAGAGTCCAGAGCCCTGCTGCTCAACAAGTGTCTGTACTGTGTTACATATAACCAACGCAAATGTGAATAATAACAAAAACAAGAATAATAATAATATTTTACAGCCTCTTGTCAAACCATTGGCGGATAAAGGCCCCTCCCCAAGCAGTGTCACAGTCATGGGGGTCGTTTGACCATGCTTCACCACACCGGTCAGTGGGGGTCGGCGAGAGAGGAGGCCCAGAACATCGCTCGCCACCGACGCTTGCCACGTCTCCGGATCGATCTCTCGTCGCCGCGTTCATCGCACGACGCGCCGACCGTTGCGCCGTGTCTCCCCCTCTCCGACGATAATAAAAATAACCCTGAAGGAAGACGGCGTGACGGGGGGTACGAAACGGGAGTTTATCTCTCTGGGAACAAAGCAGCCGCTGTGCAGTGCGCTTCGCTCCGCCCGCAGCGTCGTTGTTGCGCACTGGAATTTGCTGGAACCGCAATTTTTGTGACTCATCGAGGGGCCGTAGCGGCGCTGGGCGTTCGGGAAACCGCAGAGCCCCCCCCCCCCGTCCCACCCGGGGCGCAGTCACGAGGGGCTGCGAGCGGCGAGTTCGCGGCTGCCGACGCGAAAAACAAAGTCCCCTTGGCCGGCTTCTCCACCGTCAGTCGTCCGCGATCGAGCGCCTTCTGCCGGCAGGGAGGGGCGCACGGGCGGCAGGGCCGACGAGAACGTTCCCATGGACGCGTTGCCGCTTTCACCCCAAATTCGGCAGCGCCCGACGTGGGCACGATGCCGCGTCGCTCGCTCGCTCGCTCTCCCAGCAGCTCGCCCCGCACCAAGGAAGCGACTCCACGTCGTAGTGCACCGCTTCCCACTGCCTCGCGCACCACCAGTGGTGCATATATACACAGTACAGAAATGGATATCTACTAATTCATCGTAAATATATATTACAATATATGTTAAACACGTAGGCTTTCGCGACCAATATCATCCGTAAGAGGTTTTTTTGGGTTAGATCGCTTAAATATATAAATGTGCCGTTAAAACCCACCACCACCCAACACAGCCAACTAGTAAGGGTTGTTGCGTAAACAGAACATGCCAATTCGCCAGAAGGACAATATCAAAGGGCTCGGATAATGCACATGCATCATGTACGTTTCCTCAGTAATCCTGCCCCCCCACAATTGTGCAAGAGCGCAGAAGGGTGGTCACCACATCTACGCCTCTGCATAAGGAACGAAACAGGTGGACTTCTCCACAAATGTAGCTGTCGCCTGATGAAGCTAGTTGTAATAACTGGCGAAACGTCGTACTAAGATTGTAAATGTTGTGGCTTGGCTCTTCAGCACACTGGTGTGCTGTACTAGTGACGAATTGGCACGTTCTATTTACGTGACAACCCTTACTAGTTGGCTGTGTCGGGTGGTGGTGGGTTTAACGACACATTTATATATTTACGCGATCTAACCCAAAACACCTCTATTATGGATATTACAAGATATGTTAATTCATTTAAATGTGAATAGATCATGTATCTATCTTTTAGTTCATATTTATAGATAATAGTTAATTTACACACACAGATATCTCTTATGGGCTCTTGAAAGTCCACCAGCGGTTGTACCATGAAGGGAATGGCCCCCTGCCATAAGAATGTGGAATCTCCATCACCGTCTCAAGGCCACCGGGAGAGATGAGCACCGCTGGCCCCTACCCCGCGGCGCTTGTTTGAGCGGGGAGGCACTTAACCTTTGACCTGACCAGCGATCAACGCGTCAGCCAGCTGGGGATTCCTCAAATTCCCTCCCGCCGCCACCTGGGCCGGAACGCCAAGCTCGCGAGTGACGGAACGGCCTCATTACCCACAGATCAATGCCCTTCAACAGCAACAACAGCAACAACAACAACAACCTTTGCCTCCCCGCACACCGCGTCGATCTTGCCACGCCAGTCAGCGCGAGATCGCTGAGCGCGCTACCCCCGGGAGCGGTCCGGCGATGTCGCTTGCCACGGATGTTAGCCGTGGCCCGGGAATAGAACTGTGGTAGCCACGTGGGCGGCGCGGTGAGCGGACCGCTGCGCCACCTCTACGTTTGTCAGAGGGTAAAGGCGCAGCCCCGCAATTGCTCGCTCAGCTCACCTCTGGTGGAAGGGCCTCCACTAGAGGGAGCTCCAGAGCGACTCCTCGAGAGGGTGTGTGGCCAGGCGTCTGGGAAGAGGTGGGAGCCACCCACACTTTACCCCACCGCTCGTGATGCCACAGTGAGTCGATCGGCAGGACAGACGCGGTGGGCTGGGCAAGGTAGATGGTGAACATGGCAGCGTCATCAAACGGCAAATGATAGACGCGCTGCTTTGTTATTTATAACTTGAGTGGGTAGTGCGTCTTGTACACGAAGCCCCGAGTGTGATGGCTCCCAGCGGCTCGTTTACGCGCCGCGCGCTTTGGGCCGCCCGAGGTTTCCGCGCGGGCTCCGGCTCTTCCTCGCTCCTTTCATCCGCCCAGTGTTTTGAGAACCCCGACCCTCCCGGGGGGCCCCTTAAATGCTCCGCGCGCATCTGCGTGGCGGCGGCGGCGGCGATGGCTCGTGTGGGAATTTGCCGTTGGATGGAAGCGCCGCGCCCGCGCTCCCACGGGCGTACATCTGCAAACGTCGTTGGGCTCCATCGCGCTCGCTCACTCGCTCGCTCACTCGCTCGCTCGCCCGCGTGCGCTCAATTTCTTCTTTTTTATTTTCTTGGAGTAAATTCTGCCGTGACGGGCCCCGCACGCGGTCCTACCCCCTCGCTGCGCGTGTGTGACCGTGCGTGTGTGCGCGTGTGTGACCGTGCGTGTGTGCGCGTGTGTGACCGTGCGTGTGTGCGCGTGTGTGACCGTGCATGTGTGCGCGTGTGACCGTGCGTGTGTGCGCGTGTGTGACCGTGCGTGTGTGCGCGTGTGTGACCGTGCATGTGTGCGCGTGTACCTGTCTGTG